CTCTCTCTCTCTCTCTCTCTCTCTGTCTCTCTCTCTCTCTCATTCCTAACGACAAAATCAGAATAGTTTCCCCTCCCGTAGAAAATAACTTTGCCGACATAGAAAGAGGCGAAAAGGAATGTATTAATTAGACATATGGGGGAGGGGGGGGGAGGCAGACAGTCTGAAGATAGAAAAGGAAACGGGATGCTGTTCCTTGAGAATGGCCAGACAACTTTAAAGTGGTAAGCATCGGGCCTTCTTGCCTCTCTCGCTCTCTTCCTCTGTTTAGCTGTCTGCTTGCTTGTCTGTCTATTTTTTTTTTTTTTTTTTTTTGGGGGGGGGGGTGTCTATGCATTGATTGGCGCCTCGGTGAATCTATTTATTTGGTTGTTATGTCCCGGTTATCTTTGTTTATATATATGTGATTGTTTCGGTCTAACTATATATGTATCCATACCTGTATCTATCCATCCGTCTATCTATCTATTTATATATATGTTTATAAACACATACACACACACACACACACACACACACACATACGCACACACACATACATACATACAAACACACACACACACACACACACACACACACACACACACACACACACACACACACACACACACACACACACACACACACACACACCACACACACATACACACATACATACATACACACACACATCTCTCTCTTTCTCTCTTTCTCTCTAACTCACCAGCGTCACACCCTCTCTCCCTCTCTCTCCCTTTCTCTCTCTCTCTCTCTCTCTCCCTCTCCCTCTCCACCTCCCTCTCTCCCTCCCACCCTATCTCCACCCACCTCCCCCTCTCCCTCTCGCACCTAACTCGCCAGCGTCTCACCCTCTCTCCCTCTCTCTCCCTTTCTCTCTCTCTCTTTCTCTCCACCTCCCTCTCTCCCTCCCACCCTATCTCCACCCACCTCCCCCTCTCCCTCTCGCACCTAACTCGCCAGCGTCTCACCCTCTCTCTCCCTCTCTCTCTCTCCTCGCTCTCCGCAGACACAACGACCTGCCTTGGAACATCCGCAAGTTCATGCACAACAAACTTCACAGCTTCAACTTCACGGCGGAACTGGACCAGCTACGCCCTTGGTCGAGGTCGTCCTGGTCGCACACGGATCTGCCGAGGCTCCGGGAGGGGAGGGTTGGGGCGCAGGTGAGTGGGGAGGGGAGGGGAAGGAGTGAGGGGAAGGGGAAGGAGGGAGGGGAAGGAGGGGGAAGAGGGAGGGGAAGAGGGGAGGGAGGGGGAAGGAGGGAAGGTGGGAGGGGAAAAAAGGGGAGGGAGGGGGAAGGAGGGAAGGTGGGAGGGGAAAAAAGGGGAAGAGGGGAAGGGAGAAAGGAGGGTTGGGGTGTAGGTGAGTGTGGAGGGGAGGGGAAGGGGGAGGGGAAGGGGGAGGGGGAGGGGAGGGGAAGGGGGAAGGGTGGGAGGGGAAGAGGGGAGGGAGGGGGAGGGGAAGGAGGGAAGGGGGGAGGTGGAAGAGGGAGGAGGAAGGAGGGAAGGTGGGAGGGGGAAAAGGGGAGGGAGAGGAAGAAGAGGAAGAAGGGGAAGGGAGGAGGAAGGGGAAGGGAGGAAAGAGGGTTGGGGTGCACGGGGGTGGAAGGGAGAGAAAGGGGGGGAGGGGAGAGGGAGTGAGAGGGGGAGGGGGAAAGGGCACCGGCGCAGTTCTGTTGGAGGGAACGGAGGAAGGGGGAAGGGTAGGAGGGGGAGGGGAGGGAGTAGGGAAGAGTGTTCAAGAGAGGTGTAGGGGAAGGGGAAGAATTTAAGTTCAATTAGATGTGGAGGTGAACAGTTATTAGTTCTGATGCAGGTGAATACGCAGGTGAAAGGGCGCTTACTTGAACATAAAGATGTAAGGGTTAAGAGAAAATAATTCAGGTGTAAGTCAAGGGGAAGATATAGGGTTAAATGAGCAGGTGAAGCTCGGGTGAGTTTGCAAATGGTACTTATATAGGTGAAGATTAAAGTTATTGCTCTAGTTATTGATAGGTGAGGGGTGAGTTTAGTTGTCCAGGTGAGTATGTAGGTGAAGGAGGGGGGTCGTGTAGGTGACGTTAATGAACCCTTTGTTATGGTCAGTGTTATTATATTGTTGTTACCTTTGCACTGCTTCCCTTGTCATATTTATCATTGAGACCAATATAATTAATAGCAATACCACCAATTCTAATCTTGCATAATAATCCACATGATCTTGCTACTACCATCATCGTCGACTCCATACTACCTATTTTGCTATTTCTTTTTAACCATCTAATTCCCTCATCACGATTCTGAAAATGACGATACCAGTCCTTTTTTTCCACCTCATTCCCTCTAATCATTCACGATACCAGAATGACGATACTCCTCTTCTCCGCAGTTCTGGGTATCGTACGTACCATGTGAATCGCAGAGATTGAACGCAGTCCAGCTCACTATTGAACAGATAGACCTCATCAAGCGCCTCATTGAACAGTACCCGGATGACCTTCGACTCGCCACCTCCGCGGACG